CTAGCGGTCTTTGCTTCTGCTTCACGTTGTGTATTTTCTTCTTACTGTTTTCTTAAGACGATTGTCTTCTCAGTAGTTATAACAATGCAACAGTTCGTTTTTACATTTTATATAGCTGCTTACATATGGTACATATGGTCTGCTGATAGAAACTGCTACATCTTTTCCCTTCCAGAATCTGTCTGTTGTCTGGGAACTATCCGGGCACACTGATCCGCAGTGAATATTTGCTTGGCCGCGACAATCACTGATAAGGATGACATTGATGCGGCTTAATGAGCTAGAAATATTAACTTTTTTCCTGCGACAAATTAAATTCTAAAACATTTTTTGTATATATTGGAAAAATAAATAAAGGCGTTTGACGTATTTGTAGGTAAAAATTATTTCCGATTTAGTGTAAATGGGTATTAAATTGACTAAAATGCAGCATTCTCTCCGAAGCAGTTATGTCTTATGTAAACAATGCACGCGCCATTCAGCCAATGATTCACACCGCGTGCTGTGACAGCACGTGTTAAGGCAGTCATCTATGACAGAGATATTATACGAGACTCGTAATTCTCTGTGAAACAGATTGCTCTCCGGGATCTAATGAAATCTGGCTTAAAAGTTTGCCATGATTTCTTTTATAAGACCTATGAACAACACGCACAAAACTAGTGTATTCATGACCCTGAACCTGTGCAATTACTGACATGATTGGTCCCTTAAACCAAATGATGCAATAGGTAAATTTCCAATCACGTGTATTTTATTGACACATAGAACCAGCTATGTTTTGGCTCTATAACTCTTTTTATGTGTCAACCTGTTACTTATATTTTTAGTGCATATTTAGTACAATTTGCCAAAGACATTAATTAATGAAATATAATGACACCATTAATTATAAGAGCAAAAATTCGATAAACATGATGTATGTTTTGATGGGTTAAAATTATATCATGCCATCACTTGTGTTGGAAAATTCCTATTGCATCATCTGGCTTAGTATCCAATCATATCAGTAATAGCACAGCTCTGACCGTGATAGACTTCAATGCAATTGCCAATATGGGTCATATAAAAGAGACTCTGTCAGGTTTTTAAGATCAGCTATCATTGGGTTCCGGACATATACCGTGCGATTTCCGTAGAGATGACCATTTGAGTTCCCAGAGAGGTAGACATCGCCTGGTTTCTGTAGACACTAGGTAGATTTGAGAGAGCAAACATCATGTAGAAATTCATTATGAGAGATCAATGGGGTTCAAGTGGCAACATATTGTTTGTTAATCATACGATATTTTGTGAATGATAACGTGGGATGACGGAGTGACATAACAGCGGATATTAAAATATATACACAACGTGAGTCATAAGAAGAGAAATTACAAAGACAATACTAGACGATCACAAAGCTAATAAAATGAGTAGCAGAGGAGAGAGAAAGCATCAAATCTTGGATGTGGGGAGTTTTTGACAGTTGGGGGTTCCACATCTAGCCAGCGACTAACAGAACTGCATCGTATGAAATATTTGATTTGGTTGCCGAACCCATGGTACTACATATTTGATTTGATTGTCGTGCCAGGATTTGACTTTTAAGGGGAAGAATTTGTCTAGAAGAAAACCCATGGAAGAAACTGAATCTGGTGGACAAACCGGTGGAAATATTCTCAATTGGGTAAATACATTTTTTTTGAAACATTTGATATGTAAATTTGTTTAACAGACCAAATAATGTTTAGTAGTTAATATAAGATTAAAAATTAAATAAGAAATGTGTTTAAAATTCAACTGTAGGGAATAAAATATTATTAAGTTTTGATGGACATGTTTATAAACAATGTAATATGATTAGCGTTTGGAAAGACAAGTTGGAGTTATTTCAAATTTAAAGTGGGCCTATAAGGAGTAGGTTAATAAATTTTAGGTATATAGGAAATAATAAGGAAACGGAATAGGGAATATAACAAAACTAGCAGGATACCCGGCTTCGCTCGGGGGTCATAACTCCGAAACCGGAAGTGGTAGACTAACGCCACCTGGCCTATGTTACTCCCCGGTCCGAGCTACCCCTATACCCCAAATTTCAGACTCGGGGCAGATGTAGCCGCCAACCCCGAACAGACTTCGCTCGGGGGTCATAACTCCGAAACCGGAAGTGGTAGACTAACGCCACCTGGCCTATGTTACTCCCCGGTCGGAGCTACCCATATAACCCAAATTTCAGACTCGGGGCAGACCTACTGTAGCCGCCAACCCCGAACAGACTTCGCTCGGGGGTCATAACTCCGAAACCGGAAGTGGTAGACTAACGCCACCTGGCCTATGTTACACCCCGGTCCGAGCTATCCCTATACCCCAAATTTCAGACTCGGGGCAGACCTAGTGTAGCCGCCAACCCCGAACAGACCGGCTTCGTTCTGGGGTCATAACTCCGAAACCGGAAGTGGTAGACTAACGCCACCTAGCCTATGTTACTCTCCGGTCCGAGCTACCCCTATACCCCAAATTTCAGACTCGGGGCAGACCTAGTGTAGCCGCCAACCCCGAACAGACAGACAGACAGAAAGACAGACAGACAAACGACAGTCACAAATATATATATATAGAACATAGATAAGGAATTAATGGTGTCTCCGGACCAAAGTAAAAAAAGACGGCAGAGTCAAGGATGAAGTTTGTGAGTGATTAACTCCAAATTTTCATGATTGTCCTTTTCTGTGGAGATTCGTTAAATTTGTGTTTGTATCGTCCATATACTTGTTTAATTAAGTAGAGGTAACAAGAGTTTCAAAATTATGGTGGTAGCCAAGTAAAGGCTAAAATAAGTAGTTTAACTTTTGAATATAAAGTTAGATTATAATAAGAACAAAATAGAGCCCTGTGTAAATCGCGAATAGCGTTTAGGGCGTAATAAGATAATAAAAGGAGTTATATATTATGACCTTAGAGTATAGAGGTTAAGGATTTAGCAGTAGAAGTGCCAGTATTAATTTAAAATAAAAGACTTGTTAAATTTACGAGATTATCGAGCGAGTCAGTGGTTTAGTATATTATTTTCTTTCATGAAATTTTGCTTTAAATTGTTCACGTCACGGGAGGTGATTAAAAATGTGTAATTTGAGATGATGTCGCAATTGTACACTGTCTCTAGTCTGGTCATTAAAACAATAGGTTTGTTTGAATTTAATGTTATGACATTTGGAATTAATAATTGTCCGAGTATCACATTTAATGGCGCGCGTTCTTAAGGGACTCGGAAAATTTTACAATAGCCTATATTGATGATATACATACTGATCGACTCTCGTCCGAAGCGGGAAAATTATAAACATATTAAGATTGTTTTTGATAGGTTGAGACAATATGGGCTGAAATTAAAATCATCTACATGTAATTTTTTTCAACAAGAAACAAAATATTTAGGATTTGAGATCACTCCTAAAGGAATTAAAACTGATCAAGATAAGGCTCGTGCGATACAAAATATGGATCAGCCTTGTACTCTAAAAGAAGTTATACCAAACTTTTTGAAGATTGCCGAACCTATAATCAAATTAACGAAAAAGTATACAAGTTTAAATGAACATTTGAATGTCAAACCGTTTTTTAATTCTTAAAAGAAAGCTTAATGACGATTCCGTTGTTAGCTTGTGCAGATCCAATTTTCCGTATATACTTTACACTGACGCGAGTGATTCAGCTAGAGGAGCAGCTTTGTTGCACGTACTGTCAAATTCAAATATGTGTAGTAGAACGTGAGCCATATGCAATTCATTACGCTTTACAAAATTTGGATTATTATCTACATAAGGCTAAATTTACGATATACGAACTGATCATAAGCCGCTTCAATACCTGTTGGAATCACCCTTTCCACGGATTAAAGTGGTGTGCCCTTTGTCAAGGTGAACTTTAGGATTATAATCTCAGAATACCAGGTTTAACTTCGGGCTACGCGTCTAAAATCAAAAAATCCTGCGAATGCCACGGGTTTGGGCCTGTTTGTGGTTTCCTTTTTCTAAAACATATGCGTGACGTAAAAAGATGGCGTTGCTTTTGGTGTAATCAGTTTGTGTTAACAAAGAAATCTTTTGACATACAGAGCGTAGGCCTACATAATATGTCGCATTTGGATTGAATAAGGAATTATATTTGTGTTATTTATTTTATTATAGGAAACTAGGACATGCTACTTGTATTCCCATTGGGTTTTTTTGTTATCATTTGTGTTGAGCCAAATAGATGGGTATTAATCAAGGAAAATGTATTGTTTAGGCCCGTATATAAAATAGAAACGATGCGTTCGGCATTGTTGGCTATTTTGGTTCATGATCTCCAACCGTTTGACGTTTTCGTTAGAAATTTGACAACATATGTTTACGATTCACAAAAGATTTTTATAAATAAATATAATACGATGCAGACTCGTGATTTTAGGAACACTTTTCTGCGATTACAAACAGAAATTTTAATGTTGACTGATGCACATTATGATATATAACATACTTGTAGTAGATTTACGAACTCTGCGTAACAGATTTAGACAAAGGCGTGCCCTTGTTCCAATAGTAGGGAAAGCACTAAACTTTTATTTGTTTCCGAACGTGATTTACATGACATTAAAACAAATATACAAACTCTCAGGCGAGAATATGTCTGACGTCGGATGTGGTAAGCTTTTTCACGGTTTGCGCTTTCAATATCTGACCGACGACGTATATTGCTACAGTTGTCTAATATTACGCAATTTGATTGGCTATTGCGGTAGTCCGTTGGATGAGAATATAACTGGTCCTATCCATACAAAAAGCTGCTCATCCGACCATTTGTCTGATGAGTTGGTCAGATGTGACTGTTAGATCCGATGGTTGTATGGATTGGTTGTATCGTGTAAACGCAGCTTTATGACAGTGTCAAAAATAGTATATACCTTAGCCAGCGGCCCTGAAGATCTTGATACCATAGTCTTAAGCCTATAGGTAAATACGGCATTGGTCACAAATATATAAACAAAATTATTTTATTTCATACAAACACCTACATAAAATTGTAGTTAATATTAATTGACATCACAGCCATGTATATATCAAATTTATATATCTCACATCAGACTCTCGACAGTTCAACCGTCTTTGTTCAATAGTTTTTGGATAGAGTTTATAATAGATTCTGCCGAGTCGACACAACCGTCAAAACCAGACTGTGTAAAACCATCTCCACCAACTATAACTAATGGCTTCTCTTGTAATACAATACAACCCTCTTTACCAGCATATGGCTTATGTACCTTGAAATATTATAGAACATTATATATTGTTAGAAGTGGACAAGCCATTATAGTGAGAGAGAGAGGGAAATTAGGTTTTACACCCACTTGACTAGGCCATTTAAGGGCTAACATAAGCAAAATTGAACATTATGTTAGTCTGAAATAGGCTAGTTTTTGTTTAGTGGATGTTTAACTCCATTTCTTTCTCTTTCTAGTTGATAAGGATTAAATGGAAACAAAAAAGCATCAATGGAGGTACAAAAACCCAATATTTATTTCCTTAGGAGGGTTGGAGAGAAACTCTAAAGTGTGGGGAACGTGATAAAGTCAATTTGGAGCATAACTGAGCTATGGTACATGTGTATGAAAATGCTTGTACAATATGAATGTACCACATCTACCAGAAGCATTGAAACCTGCATTTAAAAAACATGACTTTTCCCATTTAACAGGGTAGCAACAAACTCTAAAATTGAATCTCACTTCACTTAGCCCCTAACCTATGTTAGTATACCCTTTGTCAGCACTGCTGGGCAGTGGGTCTGGCAAAGAAGAGAGAGAGATGGGGTTTAACGTCCACTCGACACAAACTAGGTCATTTCGGGACTAACATATGGTTTAATTTTATTTCAAAAATTCGCTTGCGCATAGGGGACTTTAGCAGTGGGAGGAAACCGGAGGACCCCGAGAAAACCCACGAGGTTGGACAGGCGACCCTACTCCTTGTCAGGTACAACCGGGGATTCGAAATCACGCCAGTCGACTCAATGACAGACTTTATGATACAGCGCGCGCACGCTAACCATTCAGCCATCCAACCCCCCCTGGCAAAGAAAGTGTCTAGTGTCTAGTCATTTGGATGGGACAAAAAAGAGGCCCTGTGCACACATTGACAGTTGGAATTATAAAAAAGAGTAGGTCGTAGTGCAATTGCTCAGGTGAAATTCCCCTCATAGCACACTGTCTGGTGTATGCCCATCTTCATTAGACCAGTCACTGCCAGTCAGTATTAGGTGCCGAAAGTATTATATTAAACCTCATTTCATTTCATTTCATCATTGGTCCCCCTTCATCTCCCTGATGTAATCTATGTTAGTACAATGAGAAACAACATGTTGGTGCTCTATGTAAGGCCATACAAACAAAATATTCTGGTTCTCAGACAATCCTTACCAAAAATCTGATGCAGAAGGGAGGTTTTTAATTTCATGTTTTTAATTTGTCAAAAATCACTACTGGGCGAAATGACTCATAAACATCACATTTTAAGGTAAAACATTTAGAGCGCTGAGGAGCAGATGTTAGCTGGAGCACTCAGCGCTATACAAATTGATTATTATTATTATTATTTCTGTTCTTATTATTATTATCTCACCATGTTGTTTATAGGAATGTATGATTATTTAGTTCCATTTATGATTTCCAGTAACATTCATCATGGTTGAAGATAAAAAATTAGAGAAGGTTTTTTTTGTGTTTTTATTTTGTCATGTAACAAATGACTTCTTATAAACATCATATTTTAAAGCACTACATTTATCTCATCACATTGTTGAATGTATGATTATCCAGTGTAATTTATGATTGTCCATGACATTTATCAGGGTTACAGATTGCTTATTTCTGATAATTTCCAGATTTATTCTAATTTTTTATAGAGTTACTTTCTGTAAACTGGGGCAACATTTAGGTGTGATAATTAAAGATACATTATGCAAGCGATAAATCTGGCTATTACAGGTCTGAAATGTTATATAACTATTAATTACCTGGTAGACATTTATTAACAAAACAAGACCATAATCAACTCTCGATGTCATCAGATACTCGAGATTTTAACTAGATTAGAACAGTTCGCCATTTAAAAATTTAATTTAAAAATGAGAAAGCGAGGCTAAGTCTCGAATATACCAGTGCTCTTTTTACCACAATGCACACATCTTGCCAAAACTACAAACAGTTATAACTTGGCTCAGAATGAAGTAATTTGAATGAAATTTTCAATATTTTCATTTTACATTATCTATTTTTGAGCTATCATAGCAAGAATGGTCAGCTCTTTATGTAAATCTTACATAATGTATCTTTAATGAGATAGAAGAACAGAACAGGTCCTGCAAGATTATTTGAGTACCAGAATATTTTTTATTTGGCCTAACCTAGTAAAGGATAGATAACCTATTCTATGATAAACTATGATAAACTTTAACTTATTTTTTTTAAAACATGTGTACGGATTCACAAGACAGGAAATAAAGTCATAGATTTTGGACATATGGATTTAAATATAGATTAGATAAATAAAATCTAAATTAGACCAAACTATTTTTTTAAAGCTAAAAATGTATTTATCAGGCAATCAATGTTAAAATATCATCCTCTCCTTTTTAGTTTTGCACAAATAAAAAAAACACTTGTCAGGCGTAATAACTTGTGTGATTGTAACAGAACAGACAATAATAGCACCCTACTTTTCTGTAACAACAGGACTAATGAAGACCAGTAGTGTGCTATCAGGGATATTTTAGGGGTGATACTACAGGGGTTGGTGCTCCACCCAACATGATCAGAGACCAGTTTCATAAAGAATATGTTAAAAGTTCCAAACATAGTAAAATATCTGATGTATAAAATGAAATAGGGTTTAACATTCTACTGTTCTGCACCAACTGGGCTAATGAAGTCAGTGAAGGGAATTTTGCCTGGACAGCGGCACTACAACCTACTCTTATTTCAATCTCCAAATGTGAGCGGATCTTTAAAACATGCTGCGAATGGTGTACCATAGTTTTTTGTAACCATCAGTAGTCTTCTTTTTAGTATGTATGGGACTGTGTAGGATGTAGAATTTTATAGTTACATTGCGACGATTGATTAATCCTAGCCATGTTTAAAAAGGGGTTAGTTATACAACGTTTAAATTGACCAGTGTATTAGGCGCATGCGCAGATAAGGTGCAGGGCGACTTTGGCAGAGGTGTTTCAGGAAAAAAAAAATATGCATGGTTTAGGCGCACTCTTTTCCAGCGTCTCGTGAAACTCGTGCCATACCATACGTGACTCAAATCTACCTGATTTATGTATGTATTTATAATTGAACTGTACCTGAGTACGAATAAAATATATTTTTGTATTATTACCTGTGAATACCGCCATTTATGGTTTTTGACATGATTTGGTTGTGGTAAACCTGGTAATAAGGCATGTAAATGTTTTAATACAATTGGTCCAACTTCTTCTTTATCTGTTTCTAGATATTTTAAACCAAACGGTACAACATTCGTATGAACAACCACTGATGGGGCTGTATCTTCATTTTCTGGCAATTAAAATAATATAAACTGTTATAATATTTTATAGGAATTAAAATAAAACAAACATGTATACACTTTATGGACTGGATGCTATGGGACATTAGTTGAATTTTTCTAAAATTAGTATTAGAATATTAGATAGTGATTGTACAATTTCCGTGCAAATCTTATTATATACTTGAATTAAATGGCAAAAAGTATCAGAAGCTTATTTGCAAACAAAATGAAAGTAGAATACAAAAAACTAGTTCATTTTGTACTAACATGGGAGAACAGAAAACCCACGAGATTAGACAGACAACCCTATTCTTTGTGATAAACACGTACACCAAGTTTGAACATTCTAGCTCAATTAGAAGGCGAGTTATTGTGTCCCAAAAAGGGTGACGGACAGAGAGAAGGACACACCCATTTTAATAGTCCCCTGCACAATAAATGAAATGAAATGGAGTTTAACATCCTACTGTTCTGTTCGAACTGGGCTAATTCATTCGGAGATGGGCATACGCCACATAGTGAGCTATGAGATAAATTTTGCCCAGACAGCAGCACTATGGCCTACTCTTATATCGAATTCCAACTGTCAAGGGATCTTTTACGCGCTACACGGGACCTTGGTTTTACATCCCATCCGAACAACTAGACAGCTGCCCTCGACAGGCCCCTCTGTCCTGCATCACTGACAAGGGGGAACCACGTGGGAAAATCTGGATGAACTGTCTCAACCAATGCAGGGAACAAACACCCGACCTTGACAGTCCTAAAAATAATACTTATATACCCTACCTATTCCTCTCTTCTTGTTATCAATACTGACATATCGGATACATTCATGATCAGGAAAATATTTAGCACACCAGTCATAATTCAACTTGGTTCCTTTATCATAAAATAAACCCAGAGCAAATCTAGAAGAATAGGATACTTGTTCTAGATTCTGTTTGATATCACCTGAATTCTCTGTAATATAAAATACAACATTTATGGCATATTGTGACTAAGTCAAGCAGGGGCGTGGTGATCCATGATTTTGCACGAGGAACAAGATCCTGTCCGGGGCACCTAAAAACAATATTTACATGTGTGTGCGGGGGAGGGGGTAAGGTGTCTGTCCCTCCCAATGCCACTGGAATACTGTGCTGTGTGGAACATGCTGATTGTAGCATATCTGACTCATGGTATATGATTGACACTGGTGGAGCATTATGATTATGATTATAAAGTTGAAGACCGCATTGAAACTGTGTGATTTTTTGACATTTGCTAGGGGGCGCAAAAACTCAAGGGGGGGGGGGCTAAAACCATGACGCAAAGCTCCTAATTGTAGTCCCTGAAGTCAAGTCCTATGAATAATTACCTATTTCTGATAATAAGCTACACAAAAACCCAATAAGAATATCTCAATCTGATTTTGAAGTTATTAGATTACCGTGTACAGGCAGACATCAAGTGTGAAGCTGTTTAGGTCTACCTCTTCTCTTTCTTAAAGGGGGAGAGAAAGAGAGAGAAATGGGGTTTAACATCTACTCGACACAAATTAGGTCATTTTGGGACTAACGCATGCGCATAGGGGTTTTTAGCAGTGGGAGGAACCAGGGGGCCCGGAGAAAACCTACAAATTCGACAGGCGACTCTACCCCTTGTCATGTACAACCGGAGCATCAAAACCATGTCAGGTGACTCAATGACAGACCTTATGATACCGCGTGCACACGCTAACCATTCGGTCACACACACCCCCCACCCGCCCCCTGCTGGCATAAAGCTTATTGTCACTTTAAGAAATAAGTAAAAGTTTACCTATAGTTTTAATTATATCTCCTTGTAACTGTAGTAACTGAGGTACAGGTAGAGTTAATATAACAGCATCAAAATCTTCACATTCACCTGTATTAGTTGATACTTTAACTATATCTTTACCATTACTATTACTATAATCTATTCTATTAACAGTACGACTATACTGAACATTGGCTTCTGAAAAATAAATATAGGTTGCCAGTCAATGAAAAATATGCTCAAATATGTTGTTTAGAAAATGATTTTAATGTCTAGAAAGAATTTCTCAAGAATCCCATGAAGCTTCTTTTTTTTTATAAACAATATTTTATGAAGCTATCTTTTCTATTAACTGTATGATTATACTGTAGCCTATACTGGATTCTGAAAAAATAAATACGAGTTGCCAGGCAATTAAAAAATGCCCACATAAGTTGTTTAGAAATGTTTTAATAATGTAAATGTCTTAAAGTTCTTGATAGAATTTCTCCTCAATCACATCAACCTTTAAAAAAATAAAATTCCAAAACCTCTGATTACAAGGTTTCGATAACAAGAGCAATAACATCACAAATAATTGATGGACAACCTTGAATTTTGATAAGAGTTTATCCTTATTATAATTGTTCAGTTATTCACCATAAAAATCTCTACGCAGGGAGCCATTATTATCTGATCACATGTCCAAATTCTGATTATCTTGGATATATGTGAATAACAAATTATTCTATAATTTTCATATTTTCAATTGAGGACAATGAATTGTTTGAAAGTAAACCTGTTTCCTAGTCAGCAATGCCATTTTGGTTTGAGATATTCAGAAGTAACGAGAAAAAAGGATGCAAAACACATACTTTATGTACTGGAGCCCTAGAAAACTTGAGAGATAAAACACTAAGTTACCTGACAAACCAAGATAATATTTGACAAGGGAGCTAACTCCTTTTGGAGTAACAAAATGCTGTGAGCCTTCTGCCGAATTGTCACCCTCCATTTTTCCTTGCATTGGTGATAAAACGCCATTCTCTACCAGATCTTGATATAATCTACAAAATCACAGTTAAAAAAACCTGATTTAATCAAACAGTTTCTACGAGATCCTGATAGTCAATAGCTAAAATACCCTGACTTACATATATATAATCAAACAGTTTCTACAAGATCTTGATAGTTGACAGTTAAATTAACATGACTTAATCTAACATCGTACTGGGTGAAAATACCATGAATAATCAAATATTTTGTCTGTTTGTCGGATGGTACGAAAATCTGAGGTTCCATGTACACATTGGCATGCATGTTAAAGATCCCTTAGCAGTTGGAATTCGATAATATAAGAGTAGGCCATAGCACCTCTGTCCGAGCAAAATTTCCCTCATGGCAGACTGTATGGCGTTTGCCCGTCTTCATTAGCCCAGTCGGAGCAGAACAGGATTTAACCCCATTTCATTTCATTTGAATATATTTTAATATTAAAATATCAGCACATCGGTGTACAGACAAACGAACTGCTGTTCCTAACACCTCCTTAAACCGCCCTAGATAATGGATAGCTTTCCTATGATTTATGTACACTACCTAGTTTGTGCAGACGTGACAGGTGTACATGTGACAGAGCGGTATAAATGCTAAAAGATGGAACTTACCCTGTTCGTTTAACTGTATATTCTTTAGATAATGTAATATATTGTGCTCCTAAATCAACTGTACATTTATTATCAGATGGACATCGACTTGTTGACATTCGACCACCTGAAACATACAGTAGGCCTATGTATTCGCTTTTATTCAAAATGGCATATCAGGGAACTCATCCGTAAATTAGATCAATGTACCATTAAAACAATGTGAAAAAGTATGGTCGGTCAAAGAGACGACAATCTGATTAAAACACAGATCCTATTTCGTTTTTTTTTATAGTTCTAAATTTCGTTTTACTTTTTTACTAACACTAGTATCTGGGAGATCTTTTATATAACCTGAGGTCCGTTCTTGGCATGCGGTGCATGGAACTGTGGGTATCCGACTAGAAACATCAACGCTGATTGCAGTTAATCAAATGTCTGATGTCGTTGTGTCAAAATACGCTCGTATGACCCCTGCGATGCGACCCCCACTATAACTGGTCAGATCTTCATGTAGTGCACGTGGAGGCCATCAAAAATATAAAATAATGAAACAAAATATAAATTTGTATATTAATCAGAGTTAACAGTGACATGTGTGCCAATAATAGTGGCAATTCTTAAATTAATTGAGTGACGAATCATCTTAACTCTAATATCATTAAAACACAGCTAATATTATATACATTGTAACTGATCATGTGCTCCCAATGAAGGACAACAGTTAAAAGTAGGTTATCTGTACGGCGACAGTAGAGTGACCAAACGTCTGATAATGAACAAATGTCGTATAAGCTTATATTTTCTTTATTTTGATTGCATTGTATTGTTAATTTTGAAGAAACGAAGTAGTACCTGCGCCTTGTGATTTGTCCCATATAAAAATGTCTGGTCTGGAGGGGAGATTTTGTCTACAGAGAGCAGCTGTCACTGCCCCTGTTAACCCTGACCCTACTACTAACACCCTGTCCATTGCGTGTCGAAGCATAAAGACCGACTACGTCTGTACTTTTGACAGATCACACGTGCCCACTGTTTACAATTTTTCACTAGCGCCGCCCATAACCACTTTGGGGAAACTACTCTCAGTTACTTTTGTAATTTTCAGAGATCAGACCACTAACTTTGTGCTTCAACATAATATTATGTCCATATTCTTCCGTAATGATGACATTTAAATGTATTGTTCAATGCCTATTGAAATTTTACTGCGGATCAGTTTAGAATAATGCTCTTCGAGAAAAAATATGTAGTTGGCACTAAATTCTTCTAAATTCAAGGGGCGCGACATAAAGTTTTGTCTTTGATAATCGAGACATTCATTTCTATATACATTTCCAGTTTACTGCGCCCCCATTACGAATTAGTTGATTTTATTTTAATTAGAGGCAAGCATTACAAAATCAGTCCTTTTATAAATATGATTTCGAAATACATACATAGCACACTGGCCCGCACTAGATCTTACTCTATCGCGAATTCGAAGATGTTTATTACTGACACATGGTAGCTTGCACTTCTACACAAAGATCCTGTCATTAAAACCATTTGCATTTCACATGTTGCCAGACCAGTAGCTAGCCCAAAAATGTCGAGGCGGTGGGAGGGGGAGGGGGTGGCAAGGGCTTTTAGGGGTGCGAACGGATCTCCCCCAGAACACTTTGGAAAATAGGGTTTGCACCTGAGGAGAGGAACTATGAAAATTACGTAAAATTTCAATATTATTGATCAAGTCGTGGGCGCCAAACCAATCTCTGCACTCGGCATTATGCATTATGTGCGGCCCGACAACCATATATTGTCATTATAAGGCGCCCAACCAATCATGTCATTATGGGCGCATGGCAAATTCCACGTTTAAATAGTAAGTACAGAAAAACCGCGTTACACGTGAAACAAAAACGATGATTTGGGTTTCCGAGAACCGCTTGCAATTCCGTCTTTATGTACGATAATTTTATTATCAATACTTATCAATATACAAATAACGAAAATATTGAATTAAAAGTTCTCATAACTGCTGTGCGAATAGATCAGGAGTGTGAAACTCATTTCGATCATGGGGCCACATGAACTAAAATTTACATCAAGATAAAGCTAAACGTGAAACGTCCTTGAGCTTTACTGAATTCTAAAAATAAAGCCAAACGTCCTTGACACAGGTAATTTCTTAGACTGGTTTCCAAATTGCCAAGATATAATATTGAACACAACGTTCTTTTGTATTACATACAAAATGAAATGAAATGAATTGGTGAATATTACGAGACAGGCTAAATTATATCACAGAAAAACATTATATGCATAAATAAAAACAATATCACAGTTAGTAAAATTGAAAATAAAGTACAACCTTTATGCATATAAATATTAAATACAAAAATGAAATGATATATATATATATATATATATATATATATATATATATACAATTAAAATTTATGATAAAATCCAGTCTCTTTTAAAAAATCTAACACTTTACCATATACACCCGGTTGGGCAAACATGTGATGTAATGTCTGACAACGGTAAAAATTCGATCTAATATTCTTGAAATGCTTGCACTCAATCAAAATGTGCTTAACTGTCAAAGGAGTATTACATACAACTTAGATATTTATGACATACAGTACAGAAGTCAGAGTTTTACTGAAACAGGAAAACCATAATAAATGATTTCCACCGTTAGTTTCTAAGAAAGAAATATCAGTTTGTTGAAATTTGTTCCATGGACCACATTTAAATCCTTGGCGGGTCATATCTGGCCCGCGGCCGGATGTTTGACACCCCTGCCTTAGACACAATTCCTCAAAATAAATGTGTGTGTGTGTGTGGCGATATGTGGGTGGTGGGGCAATACTTTTCGTTTCGTTTTTCGGGTCTACACACTTGCCGGTGGCGGTAGTGGGTGACTGCACCTTTTGCGCAGTGGTGGGATTTACCGTCGAGATTTGGTCAAATAAAGGTTCCGGTATGTGTGGTTAAATAGTCTCGTCGCACTGACTAGGATCGCCAGTCCTTTGAAGATCTAGCATGTGCTCACTCGACCCTGTCGATCGGGAAAATACATAAACCAATCAAATGAGTACAATATGATATGAGATAATCAATGCATTCAGTAATCTGAAGGATGCCTGTCTAGCTGATGCGCTCACCATTAAAATTTATATCCCATCTTCTCCAGCAAATTCAGAGATTTCCCACTGTTTTATTAACCTTTTTGACCCGCTAGAATCGGGTGGCAATCGAGTGACTCTATATGTAGTTTTGGCTTTTGATGAGAGGTCAAAATCAAATCCGGTAGGAACTAGATGAAACTTATCTGATTTTATTTATGTGACTTGGCCCACATTTTAATCTCACTTTTGTTCTGCAGATTTTCATGTTTTATATTCCATAATATTATATCTCGAAAAGGAGTGTTGCAAATCACATATATACGTCTATGGTTATGTCTTAGATTATTTGGGATCACGGAACTGTAAGAATGAAGATCGTCTGGTGCCTACTCGCTATTTTTGGATTTACACATTGTGTTCCAATAGAGCAAAATCCCGTAAGTTCCATTACAAAAAGAGGGTTTTACGGGGAAATTTAAAAGTTGTTTGGAACGTTTACTGTCTGCAGTTATGGAATTGAAAGCGTCTACTCTTCAAATCAAAGTTATATTTAATATGTCAAACGGAAACTTTCTGGTATTGTACATTATTTTAGAAGATGTAATTTGACGTTTTATTTCCACGCCTGGATAACTCTTCGTGTCTTCTTTAGTCTGCACTCTCTCGACGAATGTCTGTTACCCAGAACTAGACCATCAACGCTCTCTAGATGAATGTCTTTTACCCAGAACTAAATTATCGACGCTCTCTCGACGAATGTCTGTTACCCAGAACTAAACTATCGACGCTCTCTAGACGAATGTCTGTTACCCAGAACTAAATTATCGACGCCCACTCGACGAATGGCTGTTACCCAGAACTAAACTACCGACGCTCTCTAGACGAATGTCTGTTACCCAGAACTAAATTATCGACGCTCACTCGACGAATGTCTGTTACCCAGAACTAAACTACCGACGCTCTCTAGACGAATGTCTGTTACCCAGAACTAAACTATCGACGCTCTCTAGACGAATGTCTGTTACCCAGATCTAAACTGCCGACGCTCTCTAGACTAATGTCTGTTACCCAGAACTAAACTATCGACGCTCTCTCGATGAATGTCTGTTACCCAGAACTAAACTGTCGACGCTCTCTCGACGAATTTCTGTTACCCAGAATTGGACTGTTGAGACTCTTTAGACGAATTTCTGTTACCCAGACCTAAAGTGTCGACACTCTCTTGGTGGATTTCTGTAACCCACAACTAAACTGTTCTGCTTTCTCGACCAATGTCTGAATGACATGTGCGAGACAAAAACAACCTAGTTTTGTACGCCCGTATATAAACTGCCCGGACGACTTAGATGGTGGACGTATATTGAAATTGAAATTAAGAGCAGCACATTGGGATTCTTGAACGAGAATGGATCATCCACATAATAGTTAAAAAAAACCACGTTACCTTATTTATATTTTTTTGTTTGTTACAGACTGACTACTATGGCCCAGATGGTAAGACTAGAATTAGTATATTCGTATCATACCCACTTTATGAGTCAATAATCAGGGCCGGTTTATCAATAGGCATTGTAGACCATCGAGCTAGGTTACATTATGTATCTGATTCGAAGGGCCCACTGACATGGGGGCGGGGGGTTAGTGAACCGTCCATTCTTCGGGCAATGCATTTCTGTTTTTTTGGGCACAAAAATCAGAGAATGAGACCATGGAGTGATGATTGACTTCCAGGGTACTTACATAGTTGTACATTTAGGCCACATCAATTTGATTTTCAGTTCTTTGGTGTCTTGATAAATAAATAAACACTAGAATTACGTGAATGTTGTTTTGTTTAAAATTTCAAAACTTAAAATTTCGGAAATAAAAGCGATTGAACAGCTAAGTACTTTTGGTTTTTAAAATAGAAGGAAATGTTTGACAGGTGTTGCCGAAAAACAGATAATCAATTTAGTGTGACCTTGAGAGCGAGCGAGCGAGCGAGAGAGAGAGAGAGAGAGATCAACATAAACTAGGTCATTTCGGGGACTAACATGTGATTCAATTTTATTTCATTAATTCACTTGCGCGTAGGGGTGTTTAGCTGTAGGAGGAAACCGGAGGACCCGGAGAAAATCCACGAGGTTTGACATACGACCCCACTCCTTCTCACGTACAGGCGGGGAATCGAAACCACGTCACTTGACACAAGGACAGACCTTACGATGCAACGCACACGCGCTAACCATTCAGCCACCAAACCCCCAATGTGTTGAACAGTAATGTATTAAAATGTGCATGGTGTCATCAATACAAAGTTATGAGAACTTTAAATTAGAATTTGTCGATGTTGCTGTTCTATATTTGCCTGTTAGTCTTGAACATTGCGGCTTCAATAAAAACCTTTCCCGTTTTCATTTACTAACAAAAATAGAAATTTTGGCGTCCAATTGACCCATTAATCTACCACAGCATTGTACTGTTGGTATAGCTTGTTCTCTATTGTTGAAATAATATGTTTGTATAAGCCCCTCCCAGTTGAAAATGGCATTATTCATTTGTGGACAATCTGATGAGTGTTCGATTCCTGAAAAGATGGTTATATAATTTTAAATTTGACGGAGGAGTTTAATGCGACCCCTTGTCCTGGTTCCAGTGGCCGACCACTATGGCAGAACATTATGGCCACCCAGTCTTGAAGAGATCATAGCACGAACAAGGAGTCTCAGGTTGTCACACGTTAGGTTAGGTGACAAATTTAAAACATGTTATTTAAAAATGAATTAAAAACCTTTAATGAGCTTTTTATTGTTTTTCTCATTCCTTTCTGTTGTCTCAATTCATTAAGACGTGTATAAAACCTCATTTTGAAAAATACTAATTTATTTTATGGCTTATTATTGTTTATATCTGAAATTACATATAGACCTATATGAGGATACTAAAGTCTGTTAAGTGCTTAAGGGTCCCCAGCCCTGGAACAAGTCCATATTTCTGGGCTATAGCATTACGTGGTCTTGTGCATATTATAACTATTAACATTTATATAAAGGCATTTAAGGTTAGTTTAACTTTTTTTTTCCAGAATTTGATGAGAACTTTCCAGAAGAAAATCCTGGTAGGTAAATTGCTTGTTGGGGTCATAGACTACTTTGGTTGATTGCAGCGATTTATTCACCATAGAGGTTCTCATTGGTCTAAAATTTACTCACCATAGAGATTCTCATTGGTCTAAAATGTACATAGATTCTGATCAGTGGTTTAATGTTGTTAAATATTACAATAAAACATCCACTATACGACTTAATTAAAACCTTATGTTAAAACATAATTTAGTTTTGTTGAAGTTTTATATGTTAAGATATTAATTTTATTTTATTAAAGGTTTATATGAAGGGGATATTGAGTTAAGAGAAGGCGAAGATCCTCGAGTAAGTTATGAGAGTTGATATACTATTCAAAAAAAGTAGGGGATATTTGATTTTTAAGTGTTATTAAAGTCACCTAATGAAACTGACGAAGAAACAAATGACAAAATGAAATGAAGTTCACATTCATCGATTTATTCCAAATGATCGTTAGACTAAGTAAGGCACAGACTGACCATTATAAGGGTAAAATGATACCCGGGGTCAAACAGCAAAGTTACCACAGCATCACAACCAAGTCAGTAACGGGTAAATCCTCCTCTGTTTGCCAAACAAGCATTGATCCGACGTGGCATACTCCTAATGAGACGTCTAAGGTCATTTTGGTCCAGATTGTCCCATTCCTGTTGCAACGCAGCAGCAAGTTCTTGGACATTGGCAGGACGTTGTTGACGTTGACGTAACCTCTGTCCAAGCATGTCCCAGACATGCTCGATGGGGGAGAGGTCGGGACTCAGTGCTGGCCAAGGTAATGTGGTGATGTTCTGTTGTTGGAGGTAACCTGTAACGATCCTGGCCCTGTGACATCTTGCGTTGTCATCCTGGAAGATGAAACGGCGGCCATGACGTCGTGCGAACGGCACAACATGGACTGCCAAGATGTTGTCCCGGTAGTACTGGCCTGTAACACGCCCTGCAACAACATGTAAAGCCGTTCTTCCAGCAACAGTGATGCCTCCCCACACCATAACAGAACCACCCCCAAATCGATCATGTCTGATGACGTTAACGTCTTGGAAGCGCTCGTTTCGACGACGCCACACCCTCCTACGTCTGTCCAAAAAATCAACAGTGAACCTTGACTCATCTGAAAACATCACATTGCTCCAGCGTCGATTATCCCAGTGTTGACGATCCCTACACCAACGACGTCTTGCCTGAATGTGATGATCTCTCAAACAAGGGATCACGCGAGGACGTCAGGCGCGAAGGTGACCCCTATGCAGTCGATTCCGAATCGTCTGGCCACTCACTCTCACACCAGTGTCTGTTTGAAGACGAGCGCTGATCTGATTTGCTGTGATGACACGATTTCTCAAGGCCAAGGTACGGATAAATCGATCCTGGGCTTGAGTTGTCGCCCTTGGTCGACCTGAGCGTGGTCTGTCCTGTACAGATTGTGTATCACGGTATCTGGACCATAGCCTGCTTATGACAGACTGAGAAACATTCATCGTCCGCGCCACAAACGCCTGTGTTGTGCCGATCTGTAGCATGCCAAGGGCACGTAACCTTTCATTTTGGGTAAGCCGACGCATATCAAAATTTGTTTTCTGGTCACTAAAACAATTAAACTGATGTTTCCACCCTGGAATTCAATGCCACAATGACTGTAACATTCAAAGTCAGAGTCGTGCAAATCTTGGGTTGGACCCCCATGATGATCCCAAGCATCACCTGCATTCCATGCGGTAGCTATTGGTGCGTTTGGGCGTCACATGTAACTGGAAATGTTTCTTCTGTTAGGTTATATGGTGACTTTTTTCGTAGTCATTTGCATATTTTAGTATTATGCCCCCAAAATCAAATATCCCCTACTTTTTTTGAATAGTATATATGTAAATATATGTCTAAAAGTAATTGATATAAATATAAACACCTGCAATAGGCAGATTTATCTCTTACATAATGCATCTTTAAAACTTCGAAAGACCAGATGAAGATCATCGAGTAAGTTATAGCATGTTGATTGTTTTATTACCCCCCCCCCCCATGTTGCGTATAATGGTTATGTCAAGACACCCAATATTGCGTATCAGGGTTAAGTCAAGCCGACGTGGCGTACCATGGTTAAGTCAAGAAACCCAATGTAGCGTGCCATAGTTATGTCAGACAACCAACCATGGTTAAATCAAGACACCGAATGTTGCGTATCAGTGTTAAAGTAGCTAAGTCTCTAACTCAATATCATCCAAAATCTTCGACATTGAAAACACGATTTATTTGTCGGTTTAAATCAACATTGATGTTGTGATCTTACCGGGAAAAGATGGCCTTCTGATATCCAATATTTAAGACGAAATAAACATTTTACAATTGGTACACGAATCGCGTACAATAATGCGTTCCGGTGCTATTTGTAATAAGGGGCTCGAAAAACGAAGCTAGGCATATTCCACAAGTCATGCCAAACGGTGACGCTATATTCTTATCTGGAGAGCAAGCCCAATAAATAATATTGGCGTAGACTGGAATAACCAGACGCTAGAGATTGAAATTCGATGGAGAATACTGGCGTATTTCGCCGAACCTAACCGATTAAAAATTACAGTAAAAACTGAAACGTTTGAATGTAAATCAATTTATATACATGCATATTACATCATTGTATGCGTTGCGACCCATTTGTGTCTATTTCTAGGTCCCAAATATTAGCGACTCAAGCCGTCTAACGTGGCGTACCGGATGGTGCGAGTCATGGTTAAGTCAAGACACCCGATGTTGCGAATCATGGTTAAGTCAAGACACCCGATGTTGCGAATCATGGTTAAGTCAATACACCCTTTCATACTAGTATATGATAACATGGTTGTTTTTATTTTACAGAATAGAAATGCTATCACTGATAAAAACAAGCTGTGGCACGGTGGTGTTCTTCCCTACTCTATCTCTTCTGGATATTGTAAGTTACATTTTCAGTATCCATTTCATTTTGTCAGCTTTATAGTGGATATCTCCGTCAAGAAAATCTTGTTTAATGATAATAATAATTCAGTTCATTTCATTGTGGGTCTCAATTTTAAATCGATCTAGTTATGTTTATAGGGCGTATTGTGTTATACAGTTTTTAACGAATATTTGTTTCAAATTTGGTGTGAAGGATTAGAACTGTGAGAGGATGAATCCCATTGATTTTTAGATTTAGTGCGAAATAGTGACATGGGAGAGGACAACCTCTCTTGATTTTCAGCTTACTAGGACTTTCTGTTCCAGAGATGTAGTACGTGTCCGGAAGAGCATGACATCAGATATACTCCTTGAAGTGTTTCGTTTGATTTGACTGCGAGAGAGGGGTTTCTCGATCCATTGCTTCAGGAATATGGACATCAGAGAGCGCATGAGAAAACAATAACACAAGCCTTAATTACATTTTTAAAATCGTAAATATTTGATTTACTCCTAGCTTCAAGTGATCAAGCTTCCATCCGATCTGCCATGCATACCATTGAGGAGAAAACTAAAGTAAATGGTAAAACATGTATCCATTTTACACCTCATACCAACCAACGACAATATATTAGATTTGCCTCGGGATCAGGGTAAGTATATGTTTGTTAACCACAGTTGTCTAGTCGTTCGGATAGGACAAAAAAACGAGGTCCCGTGTACACATTGGTGTGCACGTAAAAGATCCCTTGGCATTTGGAATTCGATATGAAAGTAGGCCGTAGCGCCGCTGTCCGGGAAAAAATCCTCTCATAGCAGACTGTATGGCGAATGTCTGTCTTCATTAGCCCAGTCGGAACAGAACAGTAGGACTTTAAACCCCATTTCTTTTCATTTCATTTCCAATCATTGCCTTCAGGAGCGGGCTTGGCCTACTGAAAAATATAATGGACTATATTCGAGGAGGACAATTATCGGTAAAGGTGAATCAGGCTAGTTTTGTTCTGATCCCACAAAAATTCTTCATCGCGATGGGGGCCCAAGGAAACCAGTTGGTCCGAGTGTCCAGAACCACCCCTGGAGTCTTGTCCAGTATAGTGTGCGACACCCACGTACTGCCTTAAAACTGGGATTCAGTTTTGTCCGGTGTCGGATTCGGATCCAGCGACTTCCGCAGTCACGACGAGAATGACCATGCGCAATATGGTAATTATATTATTCTTATTTTTAAAGATGTCATACCCCCGTTGGTATGGGATATGGTGCATCAACCGTAACATTGGGAAGAGGTTGTCTTAGAATTGGTACCATCATGCACGAGATTAACCACGCCCTTGGAAGCTGGCATGAACAGAGTCGACACGACCGTGATAGTTATATTACTATTGATTTTAGTAATATTCAAAAGGGTAAGTGGAAGAAGTAGTCTACTTGGTGTTTGTTTTATCTGTATTGAGAAACACCGAAGCTTGCCTCATGAAAATCCCTTGACCCAGTTTGTGGACCGTGGTGTGGCAGTGCCGGGGCCTTGTCGGACATCTATACAAAAACCGCTGTGGGTATTTCGGACACCACAAGGTGGAATATTGGAGGTGAACCACCGCTTTATTCCTCACTATTCAAGCACGAATATCAAATGTTTGCACCCAGCCGTCGGACGTCATGGTCCCACGAACCCAATGTAGAGACAGCGAAACATCCAGAGACCCTGTGGTCAAATGAATGCATATAACTACTATACCTTAATTTGTATGCTGTCTTCAGATATTTTTCTGTTTGTAGATGAACGAAAGAGAAGGGTGTGTGTGTGTGTGGGGGGGGGGGGTAAAGTCCCCACAAAACAAACTAGGTTAGACAGGCGACCCTACTTCGTGTCACGTACTAGGGTTGAGTTGAAACCACACCACCCGACACATTGACAAGCACACTTGTTAGACCACCCAGCTCTTCGAGTATATTAATGTCATGATGTATATATTTATGGCTCAGTGAGCAAGACGTTTGCTCGCTAACCTGGAGGTCCCTTATTCCAGAAAGAACATCGTGGGTTTTCTCCGGTACCTCCGGTTTCCTCCCACTGCTAAAGACCCCTACGCGCAAGCGAATTATTGAAATGAAATTAAACCATCTGTTAGTCCCGAAATGACCTAGTTTGTGTCGAGTGGACGTTAAACCCTATTTCTCTCTCTCTATTCGAGAAAGTTCATATGGATTTTCCAGAGTACTAAAACCCTAGGTCCCGTGTACACATTGTCGTGCGCGTAAAAAGGATCCCTGGCAGTTGGAATTCTGAATAAGAGTAGGCCGTAGTGCCGCTGTCCGGGCAAAACCGTAAGACGTTAAACCCCATTTCATTTTTACTTTACAGGACGTGAACATAATTTCGTTAAGTATACCAATATCGACGAAGAAGGCCAGCACTACGACTATGAGTCTGTGATGCACTACAATGCCTATGCTTTTGCCAACGATCGACGAAAGCCTACCATCGTACCCAAACAGAGAGGTGCTGTCATTGGTCAACGTACACATCTTAGTCCCATTGATATCAAAGAAATGCAGATTTTATATGGATGTATACCAAGACCATAAAACATTTATCTGTTTGAAGTACAATAAAATATAACATTTTGGGTTACTGTGTGATTTATATTTATACGTACATATTTTACCGTCTATATTACTAACAATAAAATTGTGATTTTGACTTTTTGAACGATTTCAGCAAGTTGTCAGCTTGTTAACGGGAAGAACTCTATCCATTTTCAATGATAATTTGCTGGTATTGCCAGAGGAATTTTTAGGGGAGTTGTATGTCTGAATGGTTAGCACGTGCGCGTTGTATCATAAGGTCTGTCATAGAGTCAACTGGCGTGGTTTTGAGTCCCCGGTTGTACGTGACAAGGTAGGGTCGCCTCGTGGGTTTTCTACGGGTCCTCTGGTTTCCTCCCACTGCTAAAGACCACCACGCGCAAGGTTGTGTTGTGACCTCTGGTATTGCATGAGGACCAGGGCTTTTTCGTCGATAAATTGTGGGCTGTGACGAACATGCTAGCGTCAATTGGTTGCATATCTGAGCCGCGGTAAATGTTTGACACTGGTTGAGCAATGTCATTATGTGGTAATTCAGATCCAAATCAGCCAATTTAGTTGAAAACTGCACTGAAACCATGTGATTTAGTCCATTTGAAAGGTGGCGCAAAACCTCAAGCGTGTCATTTTGTCTCTTTTAGTTAGTCCCTGCTCGCTAACCATGCGATATCGGGTTCTCTTCTAGCGTTGGTCGAGCAAGTTCCGCGGGATTTTCAATTCTAGCGTGATTTCTCCTCATCAGTGGTGTAAGCTGGAGTGCCTGGCAATGAGCAGCCTTTAATCGTCCGGATACTCAGGTAAATTGTACTATGAGTGTAGTTCTGCCCGGACAGCGGCGGTACGGCCTACTCTTACTTCGCCGTCTAACTGTTCTTTTACGTACAGAGAGGGGTTCACTAGTCCGCGGGTGCACTAATCCGCGGGTTCACTAGTCCGTGGGTGCAGTAGTCCGGCGCTCTAAAAATACTATAAATATGGGTATCAAAAAACCCAGCAGGCTTATCTCGGTGGAAGTGGACGTAAAATACAACTAACTTACACACACACCCAGCAGGTATCGTGGGTGAGTGGTATCATGTCGTGATGTCACCCTTCATAAGGCGACAACCAGACAACACGACATTTTAACACGACAACACGACATTTTTACCCGACACCACTACATTAAAAATGTCGTAATGTCGCGTAAAAATGTCCTATTATCCTATTAAAATGTAGTGTTGTCGGGTTGTCGATCATGTTCCTTGATTATGTACACTGACCCTGGTGTTGGTCAAGAAAGTTCCCCGGGATTTTGCAGCATGATTTTTCCGACAGGGAGAAACCACGCTGCAAAATCCAGGGGAACTTTCTTGGTCATCACCAGGATCAGTGTAAATAATCATACTACATATTGAGAGGAGGATGGTAGTCATCACGGCATTTTAACTCGACATTACAATTTAAATGTCGTGGTGTCGGGTGAAATGTCGTATTGTCGGGTTAAAATCTCGTGATATTGGGTTAAAATGTCGTGATGTCTCGTTCCTTCGTTCGTTCGTTCCTAGAGTTTTGCGTCCACTTCCACCTAAGGTGATATCGTAGACAAATGATGTCTCGTTGTTGGATTGTCGCCTTAGTGGATGACATCACGACTTGATACCAATCAGCCACCATACCCGCGGCTAGTGAGTATTCCCCTACGTACATGCGAATGTGTACACGGGACCTCGGTTTTTCTATAATTCTGCCATATCTTCTCAAGTAGAACAAAATTAATTAAGTTTAGACACTTAAATTCAACATTTTTGAATACTTTCAATTCGAAAATTATGGCTTAAAATTCAACACCACCTAAATCTTTATATTTTGGCTCACGCGTAAACCAGATAATTCATTGTAAACTGCGTCTCTCTTGTAGAAATCTAAACGAACATAAATATGTTTACGTCATATTTATATATTTCTGACAACCTAATCAGTAGATGTGCTCCTTATATTTACATGCCGCGTATGAAAACAAAAACAATTTACGATCTACTTTTCGAAACACTGCTACTGAAAGAATGGACAACACTGAAAGTGCTGTAAACATTTTACGACCTATCCATTCCTCCTTCGAACTAACCTAAGGGTTCCAGTACCAGTACACACTGCAAATATTTTTTCACCTGTGTATATTGTTAATTTATAAAATTTATTTATATATGAAAGCTGTCTAATATAACCCTTTAATATGCCTGTTCCCCAATCACTATTCAGATACGAATCTGAATAAAATATTATTTAAAAAACAAAACAAAACCCAATTAACTAGAATGTGATTCCTCCATGGCCGGGTTAAGAGGTATCTGACTGGGCTACAGGCAGGGGCCTCAATATTAAATGGGCGCCCAAATTAGATATACTTTTTGTTATACCATTTTGGTTCATTTTGTTAGTGCTAAATAAATTTATCTATCTACCATACAGACATACGAATTGCATTTGTGTAAGGGTGGCGACAATGACCAAAATATGTCCCCTTTTCATGGTTAACACAAGGGCCCTATTATAAGTTTAAGTTACGGGTCCTTAATCCAACCTTGGTTCCCCACAATTGATTATCTATAGAAATATTCTAGCAAGTGATTCTAGACAATTGACTCTGCCGCCGAACACCCTGAAACCTATTCTTGGTCACATGCGCCTGTAACGTGGAAAATGTTTTTCCAAAAAAAAACCCCATTAAGCTGTGACTAAGTATAATGTTTAAAATCTATTACTTAATTGCTTTCCATAGAACTCTTGTGTTTATGGAGGTTATTAAATAACTGGTCTGAATCCTATTCTCTGACAGTACGAATACTGTTAACGGTTAGAAATAAAATGAAATGGGGTTTAACGTCCTACTGTTCTGGTCTGACTGAGCTATTGGGGACATTTTGCCCAGACAGCGGTGTACGGCCTATTCTCATATCGAATGCCAACTGCCAAGGTATCTTTTACGGTCACGTTAATGTTTACACGTGGACCTCGGTTCTTCGCACCATCCGAACGACTAAACAGTTGTCCTTGTCAGGTCTTCCGTCCTGCACCACTGACAAGAGGGACATACGCTGGAAAGTCCCGATGGACTTTTTGGCAAACATCGGGATAGAACCCACGACCCCCAGACTAGCGAGCCAGCGTCTACTATAGGTGGGATTAAAGTCCACCACCCAGTCGAAATACTCTCTACTACCCGTACGCAAATGTTAACTTCCAACAATGGTTAGCGCGTGCGCGTTTTATCATATGGGCTGTCATTGAGTCAAGTGGGGTGGTTTCGATTCCCCAGTTTTACATGACAAGGAGTGGGGTCGCCTGTCCAACCTCGTCGTATAATACTATAGTGTTTATATACAGTAGAGGCTATCTGAGTTCTCTATAAAAGAAGGTCTGGTTCATATATTGAAGTTTTTAGCTAGTACAAGTGACAACGAGAACTAGGTTAACAAGGATAAGTCTGGTAGTTTAAAATAGGGCAATGATATCATAGTCTGCTAATCCAAATATGGTAATCCCATGCGTTAGAAACGTGGTTAGCCGCCATCCTAGGTGCCCATATAAATACACAGTGTTGAAATCCAGGGTAGCGTCTGTGCAGCTGTTCAATCCGATAAAGAAGGTGCCTGGTCAATTTCCCGGGGCTCAATACTGACTCATGCATGTATCATCTTTATATAAGAAAGAGCGAGTTTAATTTCACTTCAGACATTATTGAGTGGCTGGGAAATAAACAGCATGTAGAACCAACATTAAGTGTGCGGCTTTTGCCACGTTCCAGCCGTTATGGTCTGAGTTAGAAAGGATATTAAACTCAGAACGTGGATATTTTAATAACTCAAAAAGTACTATCATGGATATTGTAGTTTCCTGTGTTTAACCCTTGTAGTTGGCTAGATATATAAACATAGTAACAACATAAACAGTGTTTCAGACTGAACTGATCATTAGAAATAGTTATCACAACGTGAAGTCGATGGAGGGCCTAGACGATAGTGTCACCCTGGTATCACGGGCCGTATACACAACGTGGAAGTAATTCATAATTCGTCTATTTAACGAAACCGTAGAGTCACAGTCGTTTATTTGGTGCTGTGACCAGGATATCGACCCTGAAGATATGTAGCAGTGAAGAGAGTATGCGTCGCACGTTGGACGTGGGGAGTTTTGTAAGAGTGGCTTTCCACATCTAACCAGCGACGCATAGTACTACATAGTGCTGCATATTTGTTTTGGACCAGTAACGCAGATTCCAAAACCTGTGGACGAAATTTAGAGAAAAATAGCAATCAAAAGAAATCAATCTGGTGAAGAGTTGGAAATATTTAGCAAATGGGTAAACGCATTTTTTTCTGAAAATTCAACATGTCAGTTTGTTTAACCAGACCAATTAATATAAGATTAAAATTAAATAAGATAGGTGTTTAAAATTCAACTGTATAGGGAAAAAAAATATTCATTATAAAGTTTTGATAGAAAGGGTTATAAAAAATATAAGGATAGAATAATGAAACGGAATAGGAAACAAAATAAAGAATTAATGATGTCTCCGGTGTAAGTAGGAAGGAAGTTCGGAAATGGAGATTTTGCGCGGTTGACACAGAACTCCATAAGAATTGTTCTTCTTCAGGCATAGATCGTAACTACATATTTCGAAAAGTCTATAGGGAGGTTGACTTGATTTTTGTTTGTACATGAATGCAATGTACCTGTCTGTATATGTATTTGTGTTTAGTAGAATTAGATTAAAGTATAAACCTATGTAATCGCGAGTAAGCGTGTGGATCGGTATAAGGTTTTAAATAAAGGGTTTAAAAGGAAATACGGTGTCTTGCAATATATAGCGAGTAGCTTATGCAATGTATCTGTTTCCAGATTTTCGTATTGTTTTGTAAAAACAAAATGTATGAAGGAGAATAAGTTCAAAGTATGAGTTAAAAGCGGGAAATCATACCATGAGAAAAAGGGAAATTTAAATTTGGATTCGAATATGCGGTTAGCTGTCGAATAAATTTTGAATTCTCGGACATGCCAT